TGGAGAGCGTTTGTGAACAGCAGTCTTCAGCTCTTTCCACAGATTCTCGATTGGATTCAGGTCTGGACTTTGACTTGGCCATTCTAACACCTGGATACGTCTATTTGTGAACCATTCCATTGTAGATTTGGCTTTATGTTTTGGATCATTGTCCTGTTGGAAGATAAATCTCCGTCCCAGTCTCAGGTCTTTTGCAGACTCCAACAGGTTTTCTTCCAGAATGGTCCTGTATTTGGCTCCATCCATCTTCCCATCAATTTTAGCCATCTTCCCTGTCCCTGCTGAAGAAAAGCATGCCCAAACCATGATGCTGCCACCACCATGTTTGACAGTGGGGATGGTGTGTTCAGGGTGATGAGCTGTGTTGCTTTTACGCTAAACATATCGTTTTGCATTGTGGCCAAAAAGTTCGATTTTGGTTTCATCTGACCAGAGCACCTTCTTCCACATGTTTGGTGTGTCTCCCAGGTGGCTTGTGGCAAACTTTAAACAAGACTTTTTATGGATATCTTTGAGAAATGGCTTTCTTCTTGCCACTCTTCCTTAAAAGCCCAGATTTGTGCAGTGTACGACTGAACGTTGTCCTATGGACAGACTCTCCCACCTCAGCTGTAGTTATCTGCAGTTCATCCAGAGTGATCATGGGCCTCTTGGCTGCATCTCTGATCAGTCTCCTCCTTGTTTGAGATGAAAGTTTGGAGGGACGGCCGGGTCTTGGTAGATTTGCAGTGGTCTGATACTCCTTCCATTTCAATATAATTGCTTGCACAGTGCTCCTTGAGATGTTTAAAGATTGGGAAATCTTTTTGTATCCAAATCCGCCTTTAAACTTCTCCACAACAGTATCTCGGACCTGCCTGGTGTGTTCCTTTGTCTTCATGGTTCTCTCTGCGCTTTAAACAGAACCCTGAGACTATCAAAGAGCAGGTACATTCATACGGAGACTTGATTACACACAGGTGCATTCTATTTATCATCATCAGTCATTTAGGACAACATTGGATCATTCAAAGATCCTCACTGAACTTCTGGAGTGAGTTTGCTGCACTGAAAGTAAAGGGGCCGAATAATATTGCACGCCCCACTTTTCAGTTTTTTATTTGTTTAAAAAGTTTAAATTATCCAATACATTTTGTTCCACTTCACGATTGTGTTCCACTTGTTGTTGATTCATGACAAACAATTTTTTAAAAAATATCTTTACGGCGCATGGCGCCGTAAAAATGGCGCCGTGGCAAGAGCTCTGGTGTGTGTGGTGCACACCGGGGTAGTCTTGCACAGTTTTTCCAATGTGGTTTTACTGCAAATGGCAAATAAATGAATCTGAATCTGAATCTGAAGCCTGAAATGGCGAAATGTTGAAAGGTTCAAGGGGGCCGTATACTTTCGCAAGGCACTGTAGGTCCAGATATACATACTGTATGTGTTCAGAGGTCCCGTTGTCGTGCCATAAGGCAGACAGATGAAGTAGGAAGTACTCCTTAAATTACCATACTTCTCTCAGCAAACTGACTCCCTACGCAGCTTGACTGACAATCTATGATTTTCAGCCTTCCCTGAGTCATTACCTACTTAATCATATGCTAAATTGAAAAGGACTGTTTTAAGCCTAGCCTTGAATGTAGAGACCGTGTCTGACCAAAGGAGAGACAGCAGCAGCCACGGCTAGGCTAGCCCAGACTACAGTACGAAAGAAAGTGTGTAATCCACGATACATAGGTAAGTGAGGTTTGAGATTGTAACAAAGGTTGAAAGATGCAGCGGTTCGCCGGACCGGGTCCCGTACAAGCAGACTCCAAAACCAGACAAACAACCTAACCATATGCAGTGTTGTGCGTGAACGAGTTCAAAAGAACGCGTTCATTGAACACGCTCATTTTTTCGTGAACGTTGAACTGAACGCAACACATTTTTTAATAAAGAACTTGAACGTGAATTAGTTCATATTATGTGTCATGAACGGCAGACAATTTTTTTTCCATTGAAAACTGAGTGAAATCTGTTTTCTCTTTTGAAATGCAACCAGAGAAAGTTCCTCCCTCCTGTATTCACCGCACTGTTTCCGCCAAAAACTAAAAATTCCTACGGTTTCCATCGTCTGTGAACGCACTCCGACTCAGTCTACTACTTGCGGTGCGGCGCTGTATGCTAGTACTATTCATTGGTTGTTGGACTCACAAGTGCCGTGATAAAAACACAGGGGTAAGTCAGTGACACAGGGCCGTTTACATTTGACATAAAGTATAGACACACGTTCTGCAGCGCATTACTGTTTGTACTTATGAGCAGAGATGAGTTGTCCAACTGAGTTGTCCAACTCAGTTCCCATTGAAACCCATGTAAATCTTGTCTGCATTGGAGTCAAAACATCCTGTGCAGTGTACAAGATATAAAATTGTCCACTCACCTTTGGCCCTCCGCGGGCGGTTATCCCTCTCTAAGCTTGGGTCCTCTACCAGAGGCCTGGGAGCTTGAGGGTTCTGCGCAGTATCTTTGCTGTTCCTAGCACTGCACATTTCTGGACCGAGATGTCCGAGGTTGTTCCGGGGATCCGCTGTAACCACTCTTCTAGCTTCGGGGTCACTGCCCCGAGTGCACTGATCACCACGGGCACTACTGTCACCTTTACCCTCCAGGCCCTCTCCAGCTCCTCTCTGAGACCTTGGTATTTCTCAAGCTTTTCATGTTCTTTTTTCCGGATGTTACCATCGCTTGGAATTGCCACGTCCACCACCACGGCTCTCCTCTGCCCTTTGTCTACCACCACGATGTCAGGTTAGTTCGCCATTACCATTCGGTCGGTCTGTATTTGGAAGTCCCACAGGATCTTTGCATGCTCATTCTCCACCACCTTTGGATGAGTTTCCCACTTAGACCTTGGGGTTTAAAGCCCATACTCTGCACAGATGTTTCTGTACACTATGCCAGCCACTTGGTTATGGCGTTCCATGTAGGCCTTCCCTGCCAGCATCTTGCACCCTGCAGTTATGTGTTGGATCGTCTCAGGTGCCTCTTTGCACAACCGACACCTGGTGTGGTATATCTGGGCCTCTATCGCTCTGGTGCTCAGTGCCTGTTCCTGTGCAGCCATGATGAGTGCCTCTGTGCTGTCCTGAAGGCCAGCCCTTCCTAGCCATTGGTAGGACTTCTTGAGATCAGCCACTTCTGTTATGCTCCGGTGGTACATGCCGTGTAGGGGCTTGTTCTCCCATGATGGGCTCTCCTCCAGCACCTCCTCATCTCGCCACTGCCTGAGACATTCACTGAGTACGTCATCCGTTTTGGCCTTCTCCATGATGTAGTTATGGAGTTTGGATGTTTCGTCCTGGACAGTGGCTCTCACACTCACTAGTCCTCGGCCTCCTTCTTTACGGCTTACGTACAGTCTCAGGGTGCTGGATTTGGGATGGAACCCGCCATGCATGGTAAGGAGCTTTCGAGTTTTAACATCCATGGTCTGAATCTCTTCCTTTGGCCACCTGATTATTCCTGCAGGGTATCTGATCACTGGCAGGGCGTAGCTGTTAATTGCCCGGGCCTTGTTCTTGCCATTGAACCGGCTTCTTAGGACCTGCCTTACTCGCTGGAGGTATTTGGCAGTTGCCGCTTTCCTCGTCACCTGTTCGAGGTTGCCATTTGCCTGTGGTATACCGAGATACTTGTAACTGTCCTCAACGTGTGCTCCTCTCTCAGGGACACCAGCCATTGTGCACTTCTGTTATGTGCTGCATCCTTCTCCCATATGTTCTTCCAGAACTGTTCAGTTTCCAGCCTCGGTGGGTCTGCTCCCCTGTTGTTACCCTGCCACTGAGCGTACACCTTCGCAGGTTGTGTTGGGAACAGCCTGTTCACCCTTCTGGCTTCATTCTCTTTAGTGTACCTCTGTAGGCGGCTGGCCAGGGCTTGGAGCCTTTGTTTGGCAGTTTCGAGTGCTTCAGGTATGGTCATCTGGCTGTACTTTCTGGGTACTGGTCTTTTCATTGCACCTCTCTGGGCCTCTGTTAATTGACTCACTTCTCTCCGAGCCGCCTTGATCTTAGCCTCCAACCGTCTTTTCCATGGTGGGTATTGTCCATGGCTCCCATGGTTGCTCTTATAGCCAAGCATCTCTAGGATCACTGCTGCTGAAGTGTATATCAGCTCATTGGTTTCAGTGATTGTGGTGGTAGGTATTGCCCTCACTGCTGCATTCACGCTTTCTATGAGATCCTTAGGTGGTACTTCACACAACCGCTGTAACCGGTGTCTTTGCCCTGTGCCCATTCTATGATCTTAGCTTTCCATGTCAGTCGCTGCCTCGTTCAGCGTTATCGGTTCCATTGGGGCTATGTACCCAATATCTGATGTTGGAGCATTGAGCTACCAGTTGTTTCGGGGTCAACTGTGACTGTGGGTTTCGAAGTTATCTATATATATATATAGATATATATATAGATATATATATAGATATATATATATATCTATATATATATATATAGATATATATATATATATATGCCACAATGCCAAAGAATTGTGGCATTTTTAACCGCAAGCCACGACCTCTGACTGCTGAGCCGCGACTCATAGCTCGTGAGTCACTGGTTAAAAGTACAGCTGATGAAGAGTGTGTAACATACTGATTACATGTAAACTGTGCGTCCAGATCCTTATTGTGTCATGAATAGTTCACAGATACCCCTAAAGAGCAAAGAAGTGTGGTATTTTTAACTGCACGCCACGACTTCTGAACCGCGACTCACCACCTTCAGCTCCGCGCCGCGCGAGTATACACCAGGCTTAAAGCGCTTTGGATGACTGTGGTCTGTAAAGATGACTATTTTATGAGCATTACTACTCATAAAATTCATATGCAATATGGCATTTTTCAAAATGCAAAAATAAACTGGGAGACATTTAACTCACCTACTATATACTGTTTGAATGAATATTGACTGTGTGTCTACTTTCTGCAGGACAGGTTAAGTGACCTCTCCTGTGATTGTTTTATACTCTTACAGTTCTAAGGAATGGTCTACTATCTCCATCGCTGACTGCAACAGCCTGAAGAAACAGACAGTGCAGGAGAGTGAGTTTTGGTGAGCTCTTTTTGACTATACAAACCATAGGATGATGATGATCTGTACGCCATTTAAAGAATGTTCAAAAGGTAAAGCTGAAAAAATAAACCCTCCCCAACAATATGTCTGGGATGATCACAGATAAATGATCCATAAAATGAAAAGAAGTTAACATGGAATTGATCCAGGTGTGTTCTGTGGCAGGATGTCTTTTGCAGACTTTAAGAAGTATTTCACCAAGATGGAGATCTGTAACCTTACCCCAGATGGACTGCAAGGCGAGGTGCGCAGCAGCTGGAGTGTGTCAGTGAATGAGGGCCGCTGGGTGAGGGGCAGCTCTGCAGGGGGCTGCCGCAATTATCCTGGTAAGCACACATTGCATCAGAATCCGTGTATCATCCGTTCTTTTGATTTTCTAAATAAAACCAACATTGAAAAAACGAATAACTAGGGATGTTTTTGATTCTCAATATTAGAATTTAATGCAACATTGAAATATTGGTTTGTTTTTGGTTTTCTATGGATCCAATTATATTCGTTATAATTCGTTATTCGTTATATGATTCGTTGCTCCAGGGCCGAAGGGATGCTTTCCTCCGGGGCGTACCTCCTTCTAGTTTGACCCTCACTGTCAAATGCGTGGTGCGGATTTAAGGACACTCTTAAGTCCAAGAATCCTTAAAACAAGTAAAATGTCCTGTTTTGTTGCTTTGGCTATGCATGCTGCCTGCTTTCTGCTGTTGCCATCCGGACAAAAATAATGGTGCACAGCCTTTGGCGCATACTTCCGGTTGCGCCAGAACGAAAAATGAAAAATCAAAAACATACCCTTCGATCATTAGTTATTCAGTTTCACAATAAAATCAGAAAAACAAATTTTCCATTCGTTTATTGTTATTTTCCTTTTCTAAATCAAATTGGAAAATCAAATCCTTTATGCTTCAATATCAATGTGTTTTTTTTGGCTCTAGTTGTTTAAAATTCTCAAAAGAATTATGGCAATTATTTCGTTTTATTATTATTTGCGACACCGGAAGAGAGAAGAGACATCGCGGAAGGGGGGGCTACAGACGCGGGGGTGGGACTCCCCTGGTCCCGGGGTACCCGCGGTGTGAATTTGACGCGCGGGGGATAAAGGACCAGAAAGTTATGGCCCTTGGAAACCACCGGGGGACCGCACGCCTCCCATCTGCCCATGAGCGCTCATTTTGGGGGAGGAGAACCTCGGCTTCCAGGGCTTGTCAAAAACAAACCAGGGGTGCTAGAGACACGGGGTTTTCACCCACGCACTCCTCCGGTTCTGGGCTATCACCGGGGAGGGCTTTGCTCCCGCTCAGACCCAGGCCTGAGTGCTCATTCCCGGGGAAAGGAAGCCCGGCTTTCCGGGCTCCTCAAAGCCAAGCCAGGGAGGGTAGAGACACGGGGGTGGGACCCAGGGACTCCCCTGGTCCCGGGGCACCCGCGGTGTGAATTTGACGTGCGGGGGATAAAGGACCAGAAAGTTATGGCCCTTGGAAACCACCGGGGGACCGCGCACCTGCCATCCGCCCAAGAGCGCTCATTCTGGGGGAGGAGAGGACCGCAGCAGCAGGGTCAGGAGGCACGCTGCTCCATACCCCCGTGCTTACGGCCATACCACCTTGAGAATGCCCGATCTCGTCTGATCTCGATGTTGAAAAGTGTTGATCGAGGGATTTAGACAAACACACCTGGAATATCACAGAGGTGAGAACTCTGCAGGGGGTGCTTTGAACAAGTTCAACAATAGCTGCTTTGATCCCACTGACACTGAATTAAAACTCTTTTTTCTATACAGATTGTTTTGTCAAATACTACTGTTTGCCCTGAAATATGATCAATAAAAAGAAAGACTTCAATAATGTATGACATTATTATATATTTATTGTGAACAGATGAAAAAAGAGATATTTACAAATTTAAGAAATACACTTAGAAGAAAAACAACAACATGCTATCTTTATCTTCTTAAACTAGTATTTGTGTGATGAGCCCTGTGACTGTGACGGCTGAGAGCTGACTATACAGAACTGTAGATGCAGACTTTACAAATGAAATTATAAAATTAGATATAATCAATAATAAGTATATATTTACATAATAATTAGAATATTTATAAACATTTATGAACAGACAGGTATAATATAGTAACTATATACAATAGCACCAATAGACAGCAGATAGCTCATTTATTTACACGCCACCTTTCCCTCTCCCGGTCATAAAAAGGAGACTGCTGGAACATCTGCGTCTCCATCCCCTGGTCCTTGTATAGGGAGAATACTTTGGCAGGGCAGTAGATGTATTTTCCTGACAGACCATTCATTGTGTATGAATGTGAGGACTGGTCCCTGCTTCAGCTGCAGTTTGCAGAACCCGCACTTTCTCCCAGTGGCAGGAGACTCATCTCTCTTCCTTTTCTTCTCCTGCCGCTCATTCACTCTCTGCTGTGTGGCCTCCAGCTCTCTCTGGTAGAACTCAGTGTCCATAAAGTCTCAGAATGGCATCCTGGAGTTGGTCAAACCCTCTGTGCGATCGGTGTTATAGACCTTGGTGGAGCAGTAGAAATACCTGGTAGGACCCGGCTGGTAAAACTCGTGGATGGAGCTGCCATCGCCCTCATATTTGGATTTTGGCTGGCTACAAGACAGGCATTTCTTTGTGTGGGGTTTATTTGCTGGAGGCTGCTGCTGCTTTTCCAAGATCCGCTGCACAACCTTCTCTATGGCCTCCTCGGACAGCGGTGACATGAGTCTGAGCAGGAGGAGCGGGGTTCACTGCTGCAGGGGGCATGGTGACAGCAGGCACGGTGCTGGTCTTACTGCCTGCTGTGAGCGATGTACTCCCCCAGCACTTCAGCCTTGTCTGAGGCATCACCTCCTCTCACTCGCACCAGAGTGAGGGCGTTCTACCTCACCACCTCCTCCTTCTGAGGAGCACCGCACTCCCTCATGGACGGGTCGTCCCTGATCTTCCTCGCCTCCTCCGAAGGGTCCTGCAGCAGGAATCCACGTGGGCCCTTGCGAAAAATCACAGTGACGCGGCCAGGAATGAATGAAAATGTCTTCATATTGTCTGCAACAACAAAAAAAGATCATAAAATATCTAGCTATAGCATGATAGAGAAGTATGTATAATGTATATATCTTTAGCATAATAAAGAATAAAATAATTAAATTTAGCATAATAAAGAAGCATGAATCCTGTATAATCTAGAGAAGACATATACAGTTGTATGTTTACATCTGGACATTAGCAGCATGAGGCTCTGGGATACAGTAAGTACAGTTATAGAAGGAAAATATGAACTGGTAAAACACTAATACATTGTCGTAAACTAACTGCATATAATTCATTTTCAACTCAATGTGTTGCTGAACTATAGAAATGTGAAATACATATAGATAGTACACACATCAACAATAATTAGCTAATAATAATTAGCTAGCGCTGGAAATACTACTACAACCAGACGTAAACAAACTGCATTACTGTATACAGTAGAATACAGTGAATACAGATTGTTTGACAACGCAGAGAAAGTGTTTTCTTTACAATATTGATCCAAACAGAGAGATCTACGAGCAGCAGCAGCAGCAGCAACAAACATATGACACGGAGGTAAACAATCATAAACAGCGCACTACACACTCAAGATTTAAACTACAGACGTGTGTGAACGATCTACGCACAATATGAGAGATTTATGGAGTGAAACATAAAGCACGAGCACAAAAACATTGTGTTTATCAGAGGAGACTTACCGAGTGCGTGTGTAATCCAGAATGAATGGAGAAAGCCGGCTCTCTCTATTTGAGAGCAGCGCCCACAAAGTTTTCCCCATAGTCCTTGGATGGGAGACCGCCTCACCAGGTGCTGTAAGCATTTTGTCCCTGGAGCTCGGGCTTGGTTAGTACTTGGATGGGAGACCGCCTGGGAATACCAGGTGCTGTAAGCATTTTGCCCCTGGAGCTCGGGCCTGGGGGCGAGCTCAACAACAGCGCGAGTTGTTGTCGTGTAGTTGAGTTGAGTTGAGTGCAGCTTGCAGTTGTTTCCGTCTCTCACCACTCATCATTTCCGGTAGCATATCAAACAAAATAATGGAAGTTGTTTTAGTAGTGTTTGTCTCCACTGCATAGCAAAGAAATGGGTGAATATTTCATTTAGAATGTTTTGATTTTCCAATTTAATTTAGAAAATGGAAATACAATAAAACAACCACGTAAGTTGTTTTTCTGATTTTGTTTTGAAACGGAATAACTAATGATCGAAGGGTACACGGATTTACACGGATTACACGGACAATCCGTGTACCCTTCGATCATTAGTTATTCCGTTTCAAAATAAAATCAGAAAAACAAATTTTCCATTCGTTTATTGTTATTTTCCTTTTCTAAATCAAATTGGAAAATCAAATCCTTTATGCTTCAATATCAATGTGTTTGTTTTGGCTCTAGTTGTTTCAAATTCTCAAAAGAATTATGGCATTACTATTATTTCGTTTTTATTATTATTTGCGACACCGGAAGAGAGAAGAGACCTCGCGGAAGGGGGGGCTACAGACGCGGGGGTGGGACTCGCCTGGTCCTACCCGCGGTGTGAATTTGACGCGCGGGGGATAAAGGACCAGAAAGTTATGGCCCTTGGAAACCACCGGGGGACCGTGCGTCTGCCATCCGCCCAAGAGCGCTCATTTTGGGGGAGGAGAACCTCGGCTTCCAGGGCTTGTCAAAAACGAACCAGGGGTGCTAGAGACACGGGGTTTTCACCCACGCACTCCTCCGGTTCTGGACTATCACCGGGGAGGGCTTTGCTCCCGCTCAGACCCAGGCCTGAGCGCTCATTCTGGGGGAGGAGAGGACGGCAGCAGCAGGGTCAGGAGGCACGCTGCTCCATACCCCCGTGCTTACGGCCATACCACCTTGAGAATGCCCGATCTCGTCTGATCTCGGAAGCTAGGCAAGGTCGGGCCGCGGGGGCCAGCCGCGTATAGTGGGCATATCGTTGATTGGCACTGAACTCTATTTTCTATACAGATTGTTTTGTCAAATACTACTGTTTGCCCTGAAATATGATCAATAAAAAGAAAGACTTCAATAATGTATGACATTATAATATATTTATTGTGAACAGATGAAAAAAGAGATATTTACAAATTTAAGATATACACTTAGAAGAAAAACAACAACATGCTATCTTTATCTTCTTAAACTAGTATTTGTGTGATGAGCCCTGTGACTGTGACAGCTGAGAGCTGACTATACAGAACTGTAGATGCAGACTTTACAAATGAAATTATATAATTAGATATAATAAATATTAAGTATATATTTACATAATAATTAGA